CATACATCAATTCAGAACGAGAGTGATTCAGCGCCGGGCAGGGAATTAAAAAAAGAACCTCAGGCTGCAATTACCTTCATCATTGGGTCAGCACTGCTGGGCTGATGCAGTCTGAGTGGGAGCAGGCACCTAGGTCCCCTCTCTTCCGTCGTCCCCTGTGAGGCCCCGACACTCACAGCACAGTGTTAATTGCCGTTTACAGACAGAGACTACGTTAATGCCACAATGGGCTCCACGCTGACAGAAAGACTTGGTTCAGAAACTCTAGGCCCCATAGGACTCTAAAAAGCTGCTGGAATTTCTCAAAGATGGCATACCCTAGAAAAGGGGTCTTCAATATAAACCACAAAAAAACAGCACCCACAAGAACCCGGGATGATCAGGGGCTGGCCCGCCAAAGCCCTTCCGTGGCGGCCCTGTTGGCTCGAACCTAACACCAGCCTCTCTGGGGGATTCCAGCCACAACATTAATCTCTCTATAGTCAGTCCTTACAGATGAGATCTCCACTCCAGTCAAATACAGCCCTATATACGTTTCCTCTCTTTCTACTGCGGATAACCCAAGCAGAAGGAGGCAAGAATCAAATGGTCATTCACGTCCACGAAAACCAAGGAACTAACACATCAGTTCTAGATGCGCTCCTGTCTGCTCCACTCTTCACGGAAGATCACAGGAAGGTCACAGGAAGCCCGTGACTACGGTTAGTTCTTGGCTCCCTGTGTACTCAATTTGCTGAATGGGCCTGTGTCTCCTGAGGGCGGGCTACTGCACAAATGAGCTGAGCTCACAGGTCAGCTGGCTGCATTCTGAGCCACTCAGGACAGTGGTGGCGGTCTGCGGCATATAATCCCCCCACCGAGAATAACAACACGCAAACACAACAGCTATCACTTGCTGAGAACTTCACACAGATGATCTCATTTAACCCTCAAACCCTTGGCACACAAGGGTTCAAGAAAGGGTATGACCTACCTCTCAGGGTCAGCCCCACCTCCCTTTAGACTAATGCCCCCCGCCCCACCCCGCCTTGGGGGCCACATGAGGGAGCCGGGTTAACAATGGAGCTTGCACTACCCCAAACCTCCTGCAGGGGGCTCTCTGACGGCCAGACCCAGGAATATGCATTTTCCCAAGGTCAGCAGGCGAGTCTTCAGCATCAGAAGTTTGAGAACCATTTTCCTAACCAGAGCACATATCAATGAGTCTCAAATGCCAGTAGTACGCTTCTTATCTAGAAAAGCAAAGACGTGGAATAGCAAGCCATAATCCTTGCCCGGGCTCCTCAGGACCTGCTACTCTTTCCGGCACTTTTTTCAGTCAGATACGTAAATAAGGAAGGTGTTTTGTTTTGCTCTAACCTGATCAAGAGACTAAAGCTAACAAATATAAATTTCTGGATACCTGACCAAAACCTAAAGAAAACCAAAAAGCCCTAAACCCAATGTAGCTTATTCCTAGGATCTCAGATGTTTTAAGCACCCAATATGGAATCAGTAAACCTTCATCATGGACAGTCAAGATATGCCCAAAACAACCCTGCAGTTTCTTCCTTTACCTTCTTATATTCTTGTTTCTATTTAAACAAAACAAAACAAAACAAAAAAAGGTCTGCCATTCCAGAGCACCAGCTGTTTGTTTTTTATTAACAGAGGACTGGCTTCTCTGGAAAACAAAATGGGAAAATCTTCCTTAGTTTCAAGTACTGGGCTGGAGATGCCTCTGGTATTGTCGAGCGAACACAAAATTGAGGGGAAGGCAGACTCTCACCTCTGAGTATAACTCAAAGTTGACTGAAAAACTGTTTATCAAAGTCCTTTAAGTTCTTTTCTTTGTGTAATTTTTAACCTTAGCAAGAAAATGGGACTACCATTTTCTGATTCACTGCCAAAGTAAAGCAAGGTAATTTTTCATAAAGCATCAAGCTGCACGGGAGAGGGGAGAGGGGAGAGGAGAATCCCGTTTTCGGAATTCCTGACACGTAAGGAGCTGGGCCAGACCCGTACAGAGGTGGACTTCCTCAGAGTGACCGATTCGGGTGAGGGGCGAAACCGTTATCTTCCAGGTGAGAAATCAAGGCTCCGTGTCTCCATATGGGCTCCCCCATAAGCAGAGTCCAAGCTGAGGACGTGGGTTTACAAGTTTATTTGGAAGGTGACCCCAAGAGGCCCAAGGGAAAGCAGAGGGAAGGTGATCCCAAGAGGGGAGAAAGCCCATAAAAGGTGTGAAAACGAGGTTGCTACGTGCATGTGGGGCTCAGTGTTACCGGGACCGCCCGCTAAATCGTGGTAAGCACCGCAGAACTGTCCCCGCGGGGGGCAGGAAGCCCGGGGTCCCCCACCAGCACCCATGCGTCCCCGGCTGAGGGCTGCCCCGAGGTCGCACCCGTGCAAGCACAGCCAGGACCCGAATGCAGGCGGGACTCAGAGGCCCGCGTGCCTGTCACCTCACCTCACCTGTCGCCTCACCTCTCCGTTCACCCACGCCGGCTCCCGCGCACAATCTCGATACTATGCACAAATGAGGGACTCATGCTTTTTCTTCTAGCTTCCAATTTCCGCCCCCCACCCCTTCCTTTCTTTTCCCCAACCTTAAAAATACAGAGTCGTCCTTCTGAGATGTTCACTCATAGGCACAAGCGAAAGCACAAGCTTTCGCTTCAAAAAGCAAACAAATAAATTCTGTATTTGCAAAGCGTGTGGGGAAGCCGCCCATCACGGCGGTTGTGTTTTCAAGGCAGGCACATTACTGTGGAACAGTGAGGGACACAGACGGCAGAACTGCAGGCAGAAGGGTAGTGGGGCGCTCCCGGGGACAGGGATTCAGCGCCCCCACCAGATGCACGGCCTCGCCAGGAAACCAGGAGGGGGGCCGGGGCAGGGGGTGGGGGGCGGTGTGCGGCTCTCCTGCCTGTCCTGGCTGCCCCAGAGCATTGGGCAGGGCAGGACGAGCGGAGCGATGCACTGTAACCCTGTGGGGACCTGTAGGACAACCAGCTATAGAAAAGCCCTGCCGGTCTCACTAGCTAAGCCATCTGTATACACAGACATCAGCACCGCGCAGGTAAGTTATAGAGCTTTCCACCATCAGAATGGCTCCCTGGGGTAATATAATGGCTTTTTTTTTTTTTTTTTTTTTTGAAGATTTAATTTACTTGAGAGATACAGACAGACACAGCATGAACGGGGGGGTGGGGGGGTGGGGAGCAGGGGCAGAGGCAGAAGCAGGCTCCTCGCTGAGCAGGGAGCCCGATGTGGGGCTCGATCCCAGGACCCTGAGATCATGCCCTGAGCCGAAGGCAGACGCTTAACTGACTGAGCCACCCAGGTGCCCCATATAATGGCTATCGGACCCAGGACCTCTCTGAATTGTTTCCACACAAAACAAACAAAAAGGAGTAAATAGTCTTAGCTGACCTGCTTGATCCTTAACTATTTAAAAAAAAAAAAAAAAGGTAAATTTGCCACTTTTGCTGCTTTCTATAGAAATTCATTCCTGCAGTACCAAAGTGTTATAGACTCTGCAGTAATTTCTTATTATGATAAAATACATAGAGCTATAAAGGGCATTGAATGTATCCCTCAAGAATAATGAATCCAGCGAACGGACACATGCATGTATTATGTGGAATGCTCAGGCCTGTACCAGAGCCCAGGGTCACTGAGTGATGGCCCTAATATAACCAAGTAACTGATTAGTTCCATCATGATTTTTGCTTTATGATATCCAGTTTTATATGCCAATAGTCAATTTAATGGCATTTTAAATTGGAGTGAAGCCCCAAGAGAAGAAAGCACTATACACCTTATTGAATCACAAATCATACATCTGATTTTTTAATTCCAAAAATGACCTAATAAACTTGCTTTATAATCAAATCTATCCGAACAACTCCTCTTTTTGTGTTTTTCATTCATTTCTAGTAATCATGCAGAGATTTCAATTGGAAATCCATTATCACCGCAATTAAGTATAAATGTTCTTTTGTGTGGGGGGCGCCTGGGTGGCTCTGTCCATTGAGCATCCAACTCTTAGTTTCAGCTCAGGTCGTGATCTCAGGGTCGTGAGACTGAGCCCCACGTCAAGCAGAGGCGCTCAGTGCAGAAGCCTGCTTGAGATTCTCTCTCCTCTCTCTCTGCCCCACCCCCTAAATAAATAAACAAATAAAATCTAAAAAAAAAAAAAAATTCCTTTGTGTGCACTTAACATAAACACCCTATGCTCTCTGTCTCATGTCAGGGCTTGACCAGCTTCCTCCAGGAATACGGAGAGAAACTACAGGTTTTCAGTAATAGCTGGAGCCTCTGATTTACTTGCCTGCAACATATGAATTATGCATGAATTAATAAACTCAGAAATCCAGACCTTCAGACTGACCTTCTGATTATTTCCTCATGTGGAAATTTTGCCTTTAGAAAAATAAGCTGGCATACAACTTTTCATTTTTAAGCCTTGCCAAAATTTTAAAATTTACGACCTACATGAAAAGTTCGCAGTTTATTGAGAAAACAGTCACTTAACAAAAGAGGTAAAGAATTATGAGACTGAGTTACTACCTACTGGGCTGAGGAACCTACAAAAGAGGTAAAGGACGAAATTGTATCAACTATTCTAAGAACCCAAAAGATTGCTGCAGAATGTTTTTTTGCCTTAGATTCAACTGACTAGAAAATCAAACTCTGTCATTTATGTTGGCTTTCATCTACCTTCAATCACAAAGCAATTACAATACAAAATTACCCTGGGTGATTTTTTTTTTTAAGATTCTGCTATTTTAAAGGATATTCTTTTGTGCAGAAATTTATTTTCTATTTTCATGAAAGTGTTATAATTTCCACAGTGCACGAAATTTTGATTAAATCTACTGGGTTGGCATCTGTGTTCTTCTCCTAATAAATGAGAAAACATTCTTTGAACAGCCCTAAATAATCTAAGTTTGCAAGCAAAATATACAGCCTAAAATTATCAGCTGTTGATACCAGCAGTGAAGAAGGAGCCTTACCATTGGTTGTACTCTTTTTAAAGTTATCCAGGAACTCCTCCAGAAGCTGGGACTGGTTCGGAGGGGGCAGCAGACTCTTCTGGTCCCTAGAGAACAGGTCACTGTCTGACCAGGATGAACACAACGTGCCTTTTGTGTCTGGCGGCCGGGCAATCAGAGTGAGCCCAACGCTCTGCTCAGAAAACAAGGCCTCCATCTGCTTCAGGTCAAGATCAGACACAGCTTCCCCATTTAAGGTCACAATTTCATTGCCCTTTCTCAACCCTGAGAACAAGGAAGAGGAAACAAAAGGAAGAGAAGAGAAATTACTAAGAGAAGTATTTTAACATGAAGGTGAAGGACGGCCACAAACTCAAAGCATGTATTCTCAGGGACCATCCTGCTGCTGCCTTCAAAGCAAAGCCCAAAACGGACAGTATCCGGATGCCGCTGTTAACGCATTTCAGCTCTCTCAAGACTAGGATTAAAAGGAACAGTTTGGGGTTTTGGCTTTTGGTTTTTTGTTTTTTTTTTTTTTAGTAAGCTTTTTGCCCAACGTGGGGCTTAAACTTACGACCTGGAGATCAAGAATAGTGTGCTCAACGGACTGAGCCAGCCAGGTGCCCCCCAGAAGGAACAGGTTGAAAAAGAAAACCAAGAGCGCGTGGATGGCTCAATCGGTTGAGTGTCCGACTCTTGCTTTCGGCTCAGGTCATGATTTCAGTCAGGGTCTTGAGCCGGAGCCCCTCTTCGCCCTGGGGGACTCTGCTGCAGATTCTTTCCTTCTGCCCCACCCCCGATCATGCACGCTCTCTCTAAAGTAAACAAATCTTAAAAAAAAAAAAGGGAAAACCATTTGACCATCATTCAAATTCATTGTTCCTCTATTTACCTGATGTTAAATGCCGTGGAAAATAACATTTATCTGTGTCTATCCGGCTCCCCGTTTCCTTTCTCCATCTGTCTGTACACATGCACTGTACTGTCTCTGTGTGCGGACATACTCTCTTTCAAAAGAAATCCCCCAAATACTCTCTCCATATATATATATATATGCATATGCATTTTCAATTAAGCTATTAAGTTTGCCTTTTTTTTTTTTTTAGTTCTAGGAGAAACCAAAGATTTTATTTATTTATTTGACAGAGAGAGAGGCAGACTGCATTCCATAGTTTTGAATTAAGAGAGAACAGAGACACTCTGTGCCACACGGACCTTCTCCATATGCCAAGCCGTCAGGGAGAACATCACTTATAAATATTCGGCTGAGATGCTGATGCTCGTCCACCTGCACTGTCACTGCAAACCCTACGAGTGACAATAAAAGAAAAAAACAAGTCTAAATTCAGCACACTAATTAATTTCTCCAACTTAATCAGCAGTATTCCCTTGAACATCTTTTCTCAGAAGTATGCAGCGTCAAGGAAGTCAAGTTACGGGTGTTTGAGAAAGCACAGCTATCTGGCAGGGGCAGAAAATCAGGAACATGTCAGATCTAAGGGTTCAATATGAGTGCACAACCTTGTTCAAAAGCGGAGACGCTATACCCACGTTTACAGCAGCATTATTTACAACAGCCAAAGGTGGAAGCAACCTGATCATCCCTTTTTTTTTTTTTTAAGATTTATTTATTTGACAGAGAGAGATACCGCGAGAGAGGGAACACAAGCAGGGGGAGAGGGAGAGGGAGAAGCAGGCTCCCCGCCGAGCAGGGAGCCTGATGCTGGGATCCATCCCAAGACCCTGATCATGACCTGAGCCAAAGGCAGACCCTGAACCAACGGAGCCCCCCAGGAGTCCGCTATCATCTTTTGATAGATGAATGGATAAATACAATGCAGTATGTACATGCAATGGAATTACGCCCTCATAAAAAGGAAAGAAATTCCAATACATGCTATCACACGGACAAACCTTGAGGACGTTATGCTATGTGAAATAAGCCAGTCACAAGAGAACAAATTCTGTATGGTTCCCCTTATGTGAGATACTGAGAGCAGTCAAATCCAGAGACAGAAAGCAGAATGGTGGTAGGCAAGGGATGGGAAGGAGGAATGGGGAGTGACGGTTTTAAAAGATACAGAGTTCCAGTTTTGCAACATGAAAATAGTTCTGAACATGGACGCTGTCACTGGCTGCACAGCAATGGGAATGTATTTAACGTCACTGAGCTGTCATTTTTAACCATTCTTAATGGTTATGATGGTAAACTTTGTTACAGGCGTTTTACCACAAATTAATTTTTTTTTAATTTTTTTAGAAGTTGAAACCAAAAAAAAAATACTCTTATTGAAATAAATTAAATTCAGTTCAATACAAAATAATTTGTTAAGAAACAACTCTGTATGGGGTTAGCATAGATTTTTTCTTTCCACCTACTTAAAAAAGTAGGTGGAAAACCACTTGGATGGATAACGTACCTGCCCTAAATGGGACTCCATGCAAAACCCAGGTGAGACAGCCCTGCCTCTAAATGCATCTCCCTCACCTGGGTGTGCTCTTCTCTCTGATTCCACAGTTGGGAGCACCTGTTTCCATGTCTTGGTTCCATAATACTGGGAGTTCTTTGACAATAAGAAGAATGATGTGCCCCCCCCACCCTTTTCCTCTGTGCCTCGGGCAGAGCCTGGCAGACTGTGATCACCACAAAGCATCTTTGCAAGTGTCTTCATTCAGTCCTTCAGTCATTCAAATACAATGAAGATTCACAAACACCCACCAAGGAAAGTAGAGTGAAGGTCAATAGAATACAGACAAAATGCTAAGAAGGCTTCAGAGGGAAAACCAACCTAACACTGGGTCAAAATAGACTATGTAAATTAAAAACAAAGAACATGTCGATTATATAAATTTTTTTAAAAAGACACAAAGAACAAATCCCAAGAAAAGTAACATATTACAATGACTGGAATTTGATCAGCTGGATTCATTTTTAAGGAAAAAAATTACATCGATGTATTCAACAAGACAAGAAATAGTCTTTTATGGAGATATGTATTGATGATCATTATCTAATTATTGAGTTCCCATGGTAAAAGACAGAATAAAATATTGAAATGAACTTTAAGACATGAATACAGTCCATGAGGAGCTTAAAGCCAAGTTTAAAGACAAATGGAAATGCAAGAATCAAATATTACAAAGTGACGCGGGTAATACTGACCCTTCATTTTTTAAACTAAAGGTAAAGCAGTCATATAAGCCTTCTTTAAGGAAGTTAGACCTTTGGTTAGTTCCTGGAGGCCACGGTGTATTTCCACAGAGAGGCGGGAACAGGGGAGGGGAGGCAGTGAAAGGCACCATTTCTGGCGGGTGAAAAGCTGAGAGCAAAGACACGGAGGAGAATCCGGAGTTACTCAGCTCAGAACAGCACCCAGTAAATTCACTGTGTTACTCTTATCACCATCCTCTCAAACTCATCAATTTTTATACTTACTCCTTTTCATTACTTTGGCATTTTCCCCTATTAATAAGCATCTTTTGAGCCTAATACAAATAAATAGAAACGAAGGAAATGAGAGGAATTTCAGAAACTACTATCATAGTTGACACTGAAAATGTAAACATGAAGAAAAAAAAAATTAGGTCCAGAGATACTGGAGCAAACTAGACATGGATGGACAACATGGCTCTCTAACTGGGTTCCCCCTTTTTTTTTTTTTTTAAAGATTTTATTTATTTATTTGACAGAGAGAGAGAGCACAGCAAGAGGAGCTGGAGAGGGAGGAACAGGCTCCCCGCTGAGCAGGGAGCCCAACACGGGGCTCGATCCCAGGACCCCGGGATCATGACCTGAGCCAAAGATAGACGCTTACTCGAACTGAGCCACCCAGGCGCCCCTCCGACTGGGTTACTGTGCTTACCAAAGTCAGACACACTGCCGGTCTTCGTGAGCTGCACATCATAAACACTTAGCGGGAAGATTTCTATTTCATCATAAACCTACAAAAGGAAAAACAACAAAATCAAAAAATTTAATGTCACAGTATCTTAGAAAATTTTTTTAAAGATTTTATTTATTTGAGAGACAGCATGCGCACGAGTTGGGGGAAGAGCAGATGGAGAAGGAGAGGCAGACTCCCCACTGAGCACTGAGCCTGACGCAGGGCTCAGTCCCAGGACTCGGAGATCCTAACCTGAGCCAAAACCAAGAGTCAAACGCTCAACCGACTGAACCACCCAGGCGCCCCTTTGGAAATTTATTTTAATGATTTCCAAACTAGACGCCAAATTAAAACAGAATTCCACCCCTCCCCTACAAATTACATACTTTTTTTTTTAAGTAGGTGCCACACCCAGCATGGAGCCCAACCCGGGACTTGAACTCACAACCCTGAGATCAAGACCCGAGCCAAGATCAAGAGTCGGACACTTAACCGACTGAGTCACCCAGGCGCCCCCACAAATAACTGACTTTTAAAATCAAGAGGCCTTACATCAGGGAAATCCAAATCAAAACCTCAATGAGATACCACCTCACACCAGTTAAAATGGCTAAAATTAACAAGTCAGGAAACGACAGATGTTGGCGGGGACGCAGGGAGAGGGGACCCTCCTACACTGTTGGTGGGAATGCAAGCTGGTGCAACCACTCTGGAACACAGTATGGAGGTTCCTCAAACAGTTGAAAATAGAGCTACCCTACGATCCAGCCATTGCACTACTAGGTATTTACCCCAAAGATACAAATGAAGGGGTACATGCACCCCGATGTTTATAGCAGCAATGTCCACAATAGCCAAACTGTGGAAAGACACAAGATGTCCATCGACAGATGAATGGATAAAGAAGAAGTGGTATATATATACAATGGAATATTATGCAGCCATCAAAAGGAATGAAATCCTGCCATTTGCAGCGACGTGGATGGAACTGGAGGGTGTTATGTTGAGTGAAATAAGTCAATCAGAGAAAGACATGTATCATACGACCTCACTGATATGAGGAATTCTTAATCTCAGGAAACAAACTGAGAGTTGCTGGAGTGGTGGGGGGTGGGAGGGATGGGGTGGCTGGGTGATAGACATTGGGCAGGGTATGTGCTATGGTGAGCGCTGTGAATTGTGCAAGACTGTTGAATCACAGATCTGTAACCCTGAAACAAACAATGCTATATATGTTAAGAAAAAAAAAAAAGGGCGCCTGGGTGGCTCAGTCGGTTGGGCGACTGCCTTCGGCTCAGGTCATGATCCTGGAGTCCCCGGATCGAGTCCCGCATCGGGCTCCCTGCTCAGCGGGGAGTCTGCTTCTCCCTCTGACCCTCTTCCCTCTCATGCTCTCTATCTCTCATTCTCTCTCTCTCAAATAAATAAATAAATAAATAAAGGGAAAAAAAAAGAAGCTGGCAGGAGGGGAAGAATGAAGGGGGGAAAATCGGAGGGGGAGACGAACCATGAGAGATGATGGACTCTGAGAAACAAACAGGGTTCTAGAGGGGAGAGGGTGGGGAGATGGGTTAGCCTGGTGATGGGTATTAAAGAGGGCACGTTCTGCGTGGAGCACTGGGTGTTATGCGCAAACAATGAATCATGGAACACTACATCCAAAACTAATGATGTGATGTATGGTGATTAACATAACAATAAAAAATTTAAAGAAAAAAAATCAAGAGGCCTTAGATGTGGTTCAAATTACTTGCCTGTTCTTGCATGTAGTCATATGGTGCAGGGACACAGTACTCGATGTTTTCATCTACTAATTTTCGGAGCTGTAGGCCATAGTGGCTGGGTTCCAGCTGCCTCATCTGTAAAGAAAAAAGACAGCCGTTCAAGATTTTAAATGTTCTTTCTAAATTCATCGTTGTCCATTAAAAATCAAAGTGGACATTTCTGAAGGAAATACCGTATGTAATGTGTGGAGTTTAAACCCATACGTAAGAGCTGAAATTTAAATGTGCAAAAAAAGAAAGACGGGACAAATAATTACTTTTAAGAAGGTTTTCTCTAAATGACACCGCTTATCACTAAAAAGCAAGAGGTGCATTTTTAAGAACTTAGAGTAGTATATTATCTGATAGGATAGATCTTACCATCTCAGCAGGTACTAACATTTTACACATTGGTTTTACCGAAGTTGTTTCTCATTACTGAAGTAGAGACAGTGTGTGAAATGCGAAAAATCTCATATCGTACAGACCTCAGAATTAGGAATTTCCTACCCCAAAAATGTTTTCTCAAAAGGAAAATGCTGATACACGTACTCCTTCACTCACTCATAAATTATCTCAGGCCTACGCTGTAACTGGGTCGAACTGACCCACTCTGACCTCTGGCATCCTCTATCACTTACAGGCCTATGAACTTCGTAACTCGTGCTGTTGGTAGAAAACAATACTGTGGGTTGTCTGAATAAAAACCTTACATAACAGAGTAAGAGGACGTTAAACTGATAAGAATGTAAGCTACGTATATAAATGTCTGGTGTCCTAAGGCCTAAGTCAAAGCAAGACTATTAAAAGATAAAATTAACGATTATTCACGTCTGTTAAGTGTACATGGTAAAGAGTTACCAAAGTCCACATGCCTTTTCTCACCGTGCCAGGTTATTTGATGGCATTTTCTCTGAAACTTAAGGCGAGTTCAGCTCTACTGCGCCACCTGGTGGATTAAAAACCTCTGCTCTGATGTTCAGTCTACTACCTCAGCGGGCTCTAAGACTTAGCGTAAACATTCTTTTCAGAAACAAAACCCAGTTTGAATAATGAGTAAAACACCATCTCATAACAATCTCCATGAAGCAACCGTGAATAGTATCAAGTCACTCGTTTAATCTAGAGAAACTCGATAAAACTGCTTAGGAGTAAACCAAACTACTTCGAAGTTTATGCCACTTTCTTACGGAGCACTGTCCCTAAGGAACTTAAATAACAACAGTCTTCATGTTTATTCTAGATATAAAGGCACATTAGGCATTTCAGTAAAACGGCTCGGGTTCTTCATGAAGGCAAGGGGCCATAACCTAACAACTCACTCTTCTAAAAGATGGAGGAAGAGAATGCTAATTAAAGTAATAAATATGTCCATTAATAAACATGTTGGTTAATAGATGTTAATCTTTTCCCTAGTATAGAAAGTGAGGTCCTAAATACCACACAGATTTAAAAGGCATAGGGAGGCAACATTAATGATTCTTTCTACTGAGACATATTTCCACAGCAAAATCCATTACCTTGCATGCCAGAGTCAAAATATCTTCTACTCTATGTTCTGGCTTGATCATTACAGTAACCCCTTGATTATCCTGAAAATGAACGTAGGTCTGGACTTCCCACGTGTTGTCTCGGGGAACACCATCGGCTGTTGAACTGTATATATGCAGAAGTTCATCCACCTGCTTTCAGATACCACAAGAAAATAGATAGATTTGAGACACAAAGCATGGACACTATGAAAAAAATGTCCCCTTGATTCATGGCATATTTTATAGTAAGCCCTTCCACATTCCTTGTGTCTGGCTTCTCACAACCCTCTGGGGCAGACAAGCCCAGTGTCTCCTCGTTCATTTAACCCACACGAAACTGAAGCCTAGGGAGGCTGACCAGAAGGCAATGGACTCCTCGTCCAGTGTTCTAGCCACATGCCATTTGCCACTTAGCCCAAGTCTGAACATGACACAGTGGATGCAACGCTGCTTGGTGTCCACTCTCGCTGCTCTAGAACTGCTGGTTGACAAGCACCCTGTGTAATCTGCATTCCTGATCCCCGTGAATTTTAATACGGTCTCATTTATGGCCACTGATGCCTGCCCGCATCCTAACCCGAACTGCACTTCATCTGAGCAGGCTTCTCTTCTCTATTTCTACTTCCTTCTTAAAATCAGTCCCTAATCCTGGGAACATTTTTTTTTTTCTTTCCGTCAGCTATTTCACATCTAGACACTCTTAGAAATCATCCCCAAATATACCAGCTTTAGGAGGAAGCTTTTCCCAAAGATGTTTAATTCCCCGGACCCCATTAGCATGGTAATTCAATGATCTCATGTTAACATAAACTTCCGTGATTTATAAACAAAAATAGTTAACATGTATTAAACAACTCAGAAATGTGCTGGGTGCCTGGGTGGCTCAGTCAGTTAAGCGTCTCCTTCGGCTCAGGTCATGATCCCAGGGTCCTGGGGTCGGGACCAGATTCGGGCTCCCTGCTCAGTGGGGAGTCTGCTTCTCCCTCTGCCCTTCTCCCCTGCTCATGATCTCTCTCTCCCTCTCAAATAAGTAAATCTCTTAAAAAAAAAAAAAAAAAATGTTGTCCTCTGGTTAGATTCTTGCATTGGTCTTCACTGGTTGTAAAGAAAAGACCCGGGGATTTGAAATCAAAAAACCTGATGTTCAAGTTACACATTCTACCATTTAATCAGCAGGACAGGACATTCACCTTGATGAGCCTTGTCTCCTATGCTGTAAAAGGGGATATTAGTAATATAATTACTTAAGTTTATTAGTTAATACAGATTTTGCAAACAAAAAATTACAGATGTGAAAATACTTTACACACTAGAAAATGTTACTTTCAATATTATCACATAATTATAACCTACTTATCACAAAGTTAACATCAATGGATTTTACTCTGAATTCCATGCACTACAAAACCCACAAAGCAAAAAAATCCTCCTATGCTGGATTAAAAAACTAGAATAGAGGGGCACCTGGGTGGCTCAGTCGGTTAAGCATCTGCCTTGGGCTCACGTCATGATCCCGGGGTCCGGGGATGGAGACCCAGGTTGTGTTCCCTGCTCAGCGGGGAGCCTGCTTCTCCCTCTCCCCCCTGTTCATGCTCTCTCTCACTGTCTCTCTCAAAATAAAATCTTTAAAAAAAAAAAAAAAAGGATATATTGAAGATTTCAAAAGAACAGGTTCAAGAAAAGCAAGAAAAGAATCAATTTTTCTGTGTTGTCTTTTTAAAAATTTGGTATTCGTCTTTAAAGGGATATTTCTGGACCTGTCATGGATCTGTCACTTTCTGTACATTTTCCTGGAAAATGATCATAGCCCAGAATGAATATCAACCTCATGTGCCAAACCAAAAGAAAAAAGAGAGTAATAGACGCCTGGAGCCAAGGAGCAGGGAGCCAGCAGGGACCCACTTTCTCCTGAAGGATCCTACCTCATTCAGATCATTCCTTCTCTGATTCGACCTCCAGGCACTTTTCCTCGGGGGAGTGATTTCAACCAGGTGCATTAGTAAACAAGCAGGTACTGCCTTAAAGGTATAGACCCCACCTCTCAAACCAGGCTTGCTCAGAATCAAACTAAAACCCCAGCAGAGGACACTGTGGAGTAAGACACCACACGGGAAGCCCTGCCAAGTCAGACAGTGGATTACTCCTGCGAAGCGATTGAATCTTGTACTTTCAGAGCAGAACAGGAAAAGCTGAAGACGGACAGGTGGGGGAGGGATGGAAGAAATACAAGCTCACAACCATCCTTCCCTTTCCTCCTGTTCCCATCCTTTATTCTCCAGCAAAGAGAGGCTGGTCTTACATGGGGCCAGATGGAATAGCTGCTTCTTTCGTTGTTTTTTTTTTTTTTTCTTCTTTCCAAGTAGGCTCCACACCCAACCTGGGGATTGAACTCACCACCCTGCGATGAAGACCTGCACGCTCTCCTGAGCGAGCCAGCCAGGCAGTCACGTGCCCCTGGATGGAATAAGCTTTTCACATGCTGTTAGTTCACTGACTCCTAACAACCCTTTACACGTTGCCCTGACCCTCTAGGTAACAAGTGAGAAAAACGAGGCTCAGAAAATTCTAGAAACTTGCGCAAGCGCACACAGTGAGCTGTAATGATGGTACTGTGGGTTTGAACCCTAAAAACCTGGCTTCAGCCTATGCTCCGTTCAACGTATGCTTACCACCACTGGGCTATAAAGAAGTATCAACCTGCCAGTTACTTCCCCACAAAATGGATACAACTTAACTTTCTCGAATCTTTTCTGTTCTTCTACAGCACACACTAGGTTCTAGTGGAACAAAACAGCTCACCTGACATTCCCCACAAAGCAGCAGCACTCTCCTTTCCTTTCAATTTCCCTTGCCTGCTTTACCTCCCCTCACAGGTCCAGTGCTGAATGAAACCATATACACCCTTCAACCTTATTACCAATGCTACCCACTCCCGCTCTAATGAAGTTTCTCTTGCTCCCTTCCCTCCTACCCCAATTCCACTGAATTAAATGCGTCTATTGTCTTCGATCCCTGATGCAGCACTTAGCAAAGCCCAGCTCACTGGACAGTCATTTTTAGGTGCTCCCACCCCCACCCCCCACCCCCGGTGTTAAAACAAATGACAGCAGAGGCCCTGTCTTTCTGGCTCTGGCTTCTTCAGACCTTGACACAGTGCATTCCGCACCCAGAACATATCCAGCACAGGGCCGCTGAACTGGATGCAACCAAAAATCCACAATCATACACAGGCTTGAAAGGTAAAAGCTGCCCTATCCATACATACAGTGTCAAGTTCTTAATCTTCCCTAAATTTTAAGAAGAGAAAATAATAGATTATTGAAGGGGAAGAAGTCCTAGACGAGAAAAGGATGTAGATAAATGCTAAAGGACAGAATATTCATATTCTACTCAATTAAACAAGGCTTTGTGCCTACAGCTACTCTGTGGAATCATTTCCTGAGCCTACACTGTTGACCTAAGATCGAGGAAACGATGGAAGAGAAGGTGCCTAGTAAAGCCAAGGCTGTGGAAGAAGATTCATACCCTCTCAAGAGATCCTGCAATGAAAATTTACATGTAAGGTTTTTCCTGTGCGTAACACACAATCTCAAACGTACCCAATTAAAGAAAGGGAAAATCTGGTTATTCCAAGGAAACATCAGGAATATGGAGTTGACTAATTAATTAGAACAAGAAAAAAGAAAAGACTACATGTTTACAGATGTCCTAGGTGGTTATAAGCTTTGCCCACTTGGAGCGAAAGCTAGACTGATTCCCTCAAGGGTCAGTGCTGTCCATGCAGAGAACATACACACGTGGCTTTATTCTCAATAAGCCAGATAAAAGCCATTTTTTTTTTCCTAAGAGGAAAAAAGAATCTTGAAAATAAGCAAACAAACTAAGCCATCTGGAAAGCTCTCTTCCCAGCCTACCCTTTTCTGGGGTGCTTCCTGCATCTTTTTACCACTCACCCAGAAGCCAGTGGCGAGCTACTCGGCCAAGGCTGTTAACACCCAACCTACCTTCCACTCCACCTCTCCCCAAGCCCCCCTCTCCCACCCGCTAAAAACTAGTTTCCAGGGGCGCCTGGGTGGCTCAGTCAGCTAAGTGTCGGCTCAGGTCATGACCTCAGGGTCCTGGGATTGAGTGGGGGGGGGATCTGCTCAGCGGGGAGCCTGCCTCTCCCACTCTGTCTGCCCCTCCCCCTGCTCCTGTGCATGCTGTCAAATAAATAAAATCTTTTTAAAAATTTAAAAAAAAAAAAAAGCTAGTTTCCAATTAGTCTTCTCAAGGTTCCCAGTTCCTGGAGAAAATGCAAGTAATAGACAGCAAAAATATAACAGGCCATCTGGTCAAATCCCAGCCTTGCCAGGGCTGGTTATCTAATGTCTCTGGGCTTCAGTTTCCACACCTTTAAAGGGGCCTAAAACCCCCCAGTTCCATGGGGAGGTCAGGAGATGGGTGTGAGGAATGGCATTTGAAGGCATTTTCCTGTAAAGGGCCATAACAATGTCAAAAGAACTTTTTTGAAGTTCAGTCTTGCAGAATTCTACCATAGCTGCCTTGACCCCTGAAATTCAACAACGGCCACTGCAAAGAACTGCAGGAGAACCATCCTTTGTCTCAAAATCCTGAGGAGCTACGGGTGCTGGGGTCACCGTGTGGTCGGCTGTGACTGGCACTGCAGCCTGGCTCAGGCGTGCCCTCCTTGTGGGCGACTTCTACAGAAGCATTGATTAGTACTATTCCATTAATGGTCATGAAAGCACACGTCAAGTCACTCATGCTCAGTGTGCCTCAAGGAGAGAAAATTGAAACTCCGCATGTTCTCACAGCAGATGCTTCTGGATCAAATGGCTTGTAATTACTACTTGGATCACTGAAGGGAAGTGAGTAGCAAAATCACAATCTGGCTGTCACCAATGGGCCCTCCACCACAGTTGCTGATAAAAAGGAAAGTCTATTAGCAAGTCAGATGAGGAGAAAACACAAAAGGAGTTACACGCTCTGGGTTTTCTTAACAACAGCAAAATGTCATGGAGGAGAAAGTGTTTATCTCCTTCTTGGGCTGATGCCCGAACGTCGGCTGATATGAAGGGAAAACAAAGACCTACGTTGTGTACCTATCTACCTATCTGTATGTGCATGCATGTTACGCAGGGTCCCAC